GGAAAGATCGCTTTCTGGGCTTAATTATGCACCTTAACCGAATTACTCGATTTTTAACTTCGTTTATTACGTGTATTTACAGAAGCTTGATACATTTATTACTTTATGAGCTTGTATCAACGGGCAGTCGATTTATTTCTCGACTTCCGCAGAAACGCATTACACCATACAACACTTTGATCAGATCAAGAAGAAAATCTTGTTGATCTTCTTGTTTTTATGTCGCAACCGGCAAGACGCCATTGCTGTGTCGACCACTCGTCGAACATCTTCCCCGTCCATCCAACTCGAGATAACGGTGTGCCATTCATTAGCAATCTGCTTAATACATCTACAATCCACAAAGTAAAACCACTATCTACATCATTATATGCCGTGCGTTAAGCTAAACTCGAAATAATAGCTCACGTTCGCCTAATTAAGCTCTAGTCGGATGACAAAATTCCAAGCAGACAGTCAACATGATCTTCTGGAATGTCTGCGACTTCCTCACATTTATCTTAAACCAAACCAATGCTCGATTTTGATATGATTTACCAAAGTTGCCAACCATATCAACTCACCGCGTGTAACGCTCCCGGTGCAATTAAAGCCTACCACCATAAAATGTATTCTCGACTTGTTAAACGGATTACAGCAATTACAAAAATAGTTATGTAAGAAGAGCGAACTCATAAAATGATAATTGCACCTCCAGTTATAAATGATAATTTATGTGTATTTAACGAGTTAAAACACATCCACTTCATAATTGCCGTTTAAAAACCTAGAGCGATTCCAAGTTCACGGAAAAAACCAATCTGACCAGTTAAATTCGACAGAGCCGAAAGCATTTAACAAGCGTGTAATCGTCATTCGAGCCCGTTCCGTCCGAAGTGTGCAAATTTCTGAATTCAATTACACCGCCAGATTGTCTCTTTCACTCCAACAAAATTGTACCTGTCACTCTGTCGATGTCCACGGCATAAATTTCGCTGAAACACACTCTTAAACAATCTCAGCTTTTGCTGTTTAAGTGAAATGTATTTCCTTTCAATCCGCCATCGCCATTATTCTTGAGCACGTAGCGCTCAAGAGATCCCCCCGGGGACACCCTTTTTGCCGACCTCCGTCGCACAATTAAAAGTCTGCGCATTCCGACGAAAAACGTCAAATTCAATTAGCACGCGAAAATCTTGCGGTCGCAGATCACAACTCAATCGGAGCTCGACGCGGTCGACGAAATTAATAGTTTTGAAAGAATTTTATGAGGGCGTCGATGCGTGAAGTCGCTTGACAATAAAGCGTCCGGACTGCTTCGGGGAAGCCTTTATTAGTTTTAGGAAGGCGACGCGACGTGTGCAACCACCATATGAACGTATGCACTGATAATATCGTTCATTACACGTAATAGCAACCGACTGAACGCTGTGTTGCTGCTATCGGCAGCTTCTTTAAATCCAGAAGGCAGCACTTAATGTGCTGTGCCAACATCGACAGCTCGCTCAGGTTAAATGGCACCGACAAATGGCCTGTGCTTGCATACGCTGCACTGTATGGTTTCGTCGGCGGCTGAGCTCATCCGAACCAAATAGGACTGACTACCCCGACTCCCAGATTACAAGAATTGCTGTCCCTAGAATGGATTTTTCCCTGTCTGTCTCAGTCGTTTTTGATTTTCATATTGGATTCTAAAGGTCACTGGACTTAGCCCCGAGGATTCGGTCCCAAACCCTAAACGGTGAATTCGGCTCGGGGACATCATCGAGCCACACGTAACAATAGACGATTTAGATTAACTACAGACAATTATGGGTTGATAGGGACACGTCCTGTCCCATCCTCGCAGGCAAAACCAGGCGCTCTTTTCGCTATAGGTCATCTCCGAAATGAGTTGGGTGGGATCTTTTTCTCGGTCCGATATCAATTCCGCTGCCTCGGTCGGGTTATTATTGGATCAGCGAGAAAAAAATTATACGAGTGATTTGTGATCTTGTCCGAGGCTCAACACATCCAATATATGATGATGGACGTCAATAAGCAACCGCAACATTTTTCATTCGTGACTCATTTCGGTCCCTTTCTCTATTAAAATTCCATCTGCGACATCTCGATTAATTTTTTTGCGACAAAGGGCCAATTTTCGTTGTCACCTTTCATACTCTCGAAGACGAAAGTGATTTGCATATGCAAATCTGACTTTTGCATACATTACGCGATGCTTAAAGGTGGTAATCCAGTTCGGAGATCATTAGCACGGCTCTCTGGTTCCTCGGTTGAATTATATCATGGTCCACCCATTTTAACTGGGAGTAAATTGCCTGGAATTATTATTCGAATTTAGCGTATCGGCGGAGTCAAGAACCTTCGAGGTGTGTGACGCATTTTTCTCGGGTAGGTTGCATAACGATGCGTGTTGCGAGTACATGACTTGGTTGATTTAATTAAAAGAATAATAAATATCGCCGGTTGAATTAGTTGCATTGTTGGCTAGTCAAGTCGTTGGTATGCTCGTAGACATTTTCCATATGATTCCAGGAAACGCGGATAAATATAGATGTTCCGAAGACAACGGTAAACGAAGATTTTATTACGTGACGAGACAATTTAATTGCTGGAATCTTATTTGCATTACAATTTTCCTATCCATCATCCCATTAAATACGAGTTATTAATTTTGCAGCAGAATGCTCGAGTCAGGAAGAGGATTTTCTAATGACATGTGTTTCTCTGACAAAGCTACAATTTCGTGATGAGATTCGAAAACTATCAAACCCGCGACATTTCCTTGTCTAGAGGCTTCCTTTTGTTCCGAGTACCGGCAAGCCGGCACGAACGCAAAAATGATAATGTCTTGTTGTGTCGTTCGACCTCATTATGACATTGACTCTGGAAAAGTAAAAGTGACCTGCACGTTTCATATCAATTATCAGGACATTACCTCTGGGTAAAGGTGGTGTCTCAGGACCCCGCTGACCCCAACAATGCCCGCATAACTTTCAGTTTCAGGTGGCCGCTAATTTACGCCGAGGTCCAAGACGGCCGTGTAATCTCCGCTTCTTCCCCTTTTTCACGGATTATGTAACCGCAAAGTCAAAGACCCAACTTTTCTAAATCAGCTATATGTTAATTCTAATTCTCCATCGGCTTACTACAAACTATTCTCGGCTCGCCAATCCTGTTATTCAATCTTCTAATTAATTTACAAGAATGCGTCCTAGTTTTCCACGCTTGTGCCTCCAAACCGAAAAAAGACCAACGGAATATCAGAGCCAAGCTGCGTGAAACCCACAGTCCACATAATACGGGAATTTTATGCAACCACTTGTAAACTTTTGGATGAGCCGTGCAGAACAATCCGGCTAATTAGTGGCGGTGCGCCGGACTCAAACGAAGCCCAGTCGAATTCGAAAGGAGATATGAACTCTCGACACTCAAGTGGGGCTACAACTCTGCCAAAACCAAAACCCCTTCTGTAACGGTACCCCCAAAGTCCACACGCACTCCGAAATTTGCAAAGATCCTGCGATCTAATCTCAAGCGTGCCATCATAATTTATAACTCGTCTGATCACGCAGGCGTGCAGTCCAAAGTCATGTTCGGTCCGTCGTGCCAATTAAGTAGGTAACAAATAGTCCTGGCCTAGCCCCTTCAATTTAACAACGGCCATCGATAAAGCGTCTTATCGAAAAATTTCGCACGCGAGATCACCCCGGAAGTATACGGATCGGCACTCTCGCTTTCCGGGCACCACGAACAAGAACAAAGCGTGTCCCGAAGAGCAAAGGTGGCGATCAGGCCAACGGACCGAGCAAACAGGAAATTCGCCACTATTTTCGATTCATCTTTGTGTTGCAAGCCAGAAAATTGAATACGAGCTCGACGCTCGCACCGGATCGCAAATGAAAAACTTTACCTTCCTAACCGGAAACGATAAAGAGAGCTGCGCTGTTTGTTAGGGTGGGATGCCATCGGTATTCGTAATAACTAACGTCCGAATGATTGCACGCTGCTCTGGTTCGAATTAGATTCATTATGCTATCATTTGATCATAATAAAGAGTTTGAGAGACGATGAAATACGTGAGTTCAGCTGTAGGTGTTTCTCGGAAAAAATTTAGTCCATGAGCGGTTCGAGCCTCCCACTTGTGTTCCATTCCCCCGATTTACCTAATTCGAACATTGAGAACGAAAAGCGTGAGAAGGTTTGATAGATGGATAAATTTCAATTACGGTTGATGGTAGATGTTAAAGGGTAATAATGACGCCGGTGATTCAAACGGATCGCAAGTATATAAAGTAGACAAGATCGGGATCGCTGACAGCCGTAATAATTAACAGATATGTAAGCGAACTGTAAACACGGTCGTAAACTTCCTAGTACCAGCGCAAAGTAAATCAATTGATGATACGTAGGTGCACTGTGAGGATAACAACGAGATAAGTCTGAAAGTCTAAAAGTTTTTCCGTCTAACGGCCGCCATGAGTCCATCGTTACGATTTGAACAGGCTGCGCAATAAATAATACAACGTGCCTAATTATTGTTCCGAGTAATTTGACGGCAATTGTTCCTACAGGTACGTTTCAATTATTCCGCATCCTCTTCAGGAATATAACGTTACTCAATATTAATTAAAGCAACATGCACGTATACGTCTCAAGCCAGGATACAAATTGCCCGACGTCCCACTTAATTTTTCAACAACTCGTTCGACTTTTGTTGCACGTTTGTAACAATTGCCGCAGCAAGTTTTTCACGTAAAAGTGAGGTAATAACTCTCATTACCTCTGTTTAAAATTGCATATTTCTTGAGCTAAATTACACGGATTTGTATTCTGGGACGAATCGTACCCTCATCGCATGAATAACCTCAACAATTTATCTCGACACCTACAGAAGCGGCAAACTGTGACTTTCCATGCGACGCCAACCGGGACAATAAGAAATCAACGCCTCTGTCCATTCAAGAACTTCGTGTGGTGTCCACACACTCCATCTAATCTCGTTTCCTTCGTTTCAGATAACCGCCCGCTGACACGATGAGTTGGACGAAGAGACTGTTGTTTACCATGATGGTGGCGGCGGCCTACACTCGAGGACAAGGCCAGGACGCCGAGGCGGAAGTCGTAGAGGCACCCGACAAACTACCAGCGCCGCCACCGAGCCCACTCGACGACTGCGATCCGGAACTCATCGGCTTCGAACTGATCACCGGCTACGTCTTCTCCGCCCCCGGGAACGTACTCGACTCGATACCGGGAACCCTGATGCTCACCGACTGCCTGGAAACATGCCAAGGGAACGACTCGTGCCAATCTGTTAATTACGAAACCGGACTGTGCGTCCTCTTCAGTTCCAACGCCGACGTCTTGCCAGGTGAGCTTTGAAGGTTCCAGAGGCGATCTGGAAACACTTATACACTTGGATGCGCGCAGGCCGCCCCGGGTGATAGGTTTTAACCCGCTTAGAGAGAAATTATTCCGATTCCGGGCTCGTGGCACCGCTGCCAAGATATCAAATAGCAATCATCTCGGAATCACAGAAATGCTGCAACGAGACCAACGAACCACCTCTTGGAGGTGTGAAAAGGTCGTGGAACCTTCCATCCAGTATCAGCAGTCTTTCCCTGATCTATTCCATCAGGTACTTTGATAAAATCGCGACAGGACTGACTGCGCCCGATAGGTCCAGACCAATACATTATTTGAAGTAAACTATCCAAAATTGGGTTTTTCCTAGTTCGCGCTGTTTCAACGTTGTTCCTTCGTCTCTGAAGAACAGCGTGGTACCTCGGTTGTTCCTCTGCCGGGTTTTTCATAGCCAATTTTACGATTTGTTACGAAAGGTCCCGTGGGGTCCGGTTGTATTTAGTCGAATGTGCGCCCGTTTCAGGTGTCTGGGCCCGCAGTTCTTGGCTGTTCCGGAGGGTCGTGATGTGCCTCGTTCGGGACGTTCCGCTGTTCATGTCTGGCGGTAATTAAGCCCCGTCCCCGCCGCACACAGAGCTCATCGGCTGTTGTGTAATTTTAACGGGGGATAATTATTAATTACAGCAATTTGCAGTAAATTGCATCTCGTCGCGTTGCAATGGGCAATTAAATTTTCGATATAGTTAAGTGTGCGTCTTTTCCAAGTCTCTCAAGTCTTAACAGACAGGTGATAAGTCTCTCGCACGTGAAGGCACGGATCGTGCGGTTTTTCCTTTTGGAATCGTGGTAGGAAGACGACGACATTTGTCATCGAGTAGTTCCTAATCAGAAAGATTTGCGTGTTGGACGCGCATGACTCCCGCTAAAACATATCGGCGTCCGACACACCGAATGTCAATCGATTTGTTCCCACGCTGGAATACGCTAACATGCGTAATCGGAAAGATAGAATCTTGCATGACAACGATCACGCTATAAAAAAGCAACGTCTAGACGACGACAACGGAGACGAATAAGTTTGCTTAATGGCAGAAAAAGAATCACGTTAAATGGGACGCGCCGTATGCTATTTCATATTGTCAATCGGTCGGAGATTTACAGTTAGCGTGTGGACAGACGCGGACTTGGCGAGTCAACCGATGGGAACGTCTTCTTGGTGCTAATAATAATGATTCGTCCTAAACAGCGACAAACCCTATTTCAGATCGCGTTTAAGCGATGGCTGAAAATAGCTACGTACATACATCATTAGCCGACTTAATCAACAACGTCATAATGACAGGATGCCAAGGTTGTAATTTACGAAGTCGAATTCTTCGAAGATGTTTGACGACGATGCAGTTCAGACACAGTGACCCATTACCTTCGTCGTGACGGTTACGGAACCTCAGGAGGTTTCATAATAATACCGACGATGCGCCGTTCCAGTTCCTTCGAAACCCGACTGAAAAAACGGCTTCTCGCCGTTAATTACTACCATTGCTCACAAGTCATGAAAATTTCCAATAAAGTCTTTGTTCCATCACACGACCTTTGTTACATCACGATTCGCATCAGCAGCTGTCAGAACTTACAAATCTCGTTGCTTCGAGGGTTTTTTCCGGCCTCATTAAACGGGGAGGTCCGGGTTATTGCCAGGCCACCTACAACACTTCAAAGTGCCTCAACTTGACAACACTCGAGGCCTCTTGATGAAATAACCGGCGTCAATCTACTTGTCCTAAAATGAAAGAAACCGCCCCAGAAAATCAATTAGATCCTTCCAATTACGACCTATATCTCGGCTCGCCGTTTAGGTACGCCCATTCGCCACCGTCGGGCAAAAAGCGGGTAACTGTACCACTCGGTTCTTGTCCTGCGTCGTCCACACTGACCGTATCAGCATCCTTTTGTTCTTGCAAGCAATCACACGAAACAGTTTAACCGATCCGCCTTGAAAAATTGCACCAGGACGTGCTCCGATTATCCGGAAACATACCGAATGGACTACTATCCTCCTCCAGGCGGCAGGAAAAAATCCGCCTTGATGCAGAAGTAAACCATTCTCATACCGTTCAGTGATTTTGTTGTCAAACAAATCCAAGAAATTCTGCAACAGTATCTAAAACGTGAGCGGAGCCGGTACGTGTTCGGTTTAGTTACGTTCATTGCACAGAAGCGGTTCGTCGGACTTTTTCGCGACACACGCACACACACATACAGAAAATCCAATAAGATTTCCGTCAAATGTGCTGAATTTATTTTCGGGAGGCCACCGGATCAGCAGCCGGGGCGGAATCCTCGACCGCAGAGATTTATCAACGTTCTATCGTGGTTTAGTTTTTGCGCAGGATCAGTAATTGCCGTAATTATTTAAATGTTTTAAAAGTCATTCGTGGAAGTACGTGATCTGCCTACGACTTGTTAGAATAATGTGCAAACTATTATTTGTGACCGACGTTATTACTTGGGAATTTATTGCATTATAGGCCGAGATTTTTTTCACGTGTGGGTAATAACCGCAATTTGAATCAGCGGGGACTCGAATCCGGAAATGGTTTCGCAGAGACGCAATCATGGCCACTCGGGGAGCCACCGCCACGGAAAAGCGACAGGAATTATAAAAGAAAAACGGGCGCGTAAAAAGAAGCAGAATGCGTGTTTCCGAACAGTTCGCGAACACGGTTTGTACCCGCACACGACCATTTAATCGCGAATCTATTCGGCTTTCCCCCCGAGCTGTTGAGGCAATTATTTTCGGATAATACGTTTTTAATTCGGGCGGTCATTTAGATATTGTCGTTCTGTTTACAAGCGCGATTTGATCCGAATAGAAGTCAACAGACGACGAAAAACGTGAATTTAAATGTATCCAGTGTTGAAAACGCCCAAACTAACACGTTAAATCCCGTTAAAAGGTCCGGTCGACCATACGAATCTGGTAAAATGAATTGGTTTTTAACGAAATCAATTAGTGACGCCCTTTTGAGTTTCATGCATCAATTGGCCGAGTGTCAGTCAGGTAATTAAAACTGTTTTATTTCTGATATGGGAAAAATAAACGAAACGTCAATCGTGCATCCGGGCTTACCGGTCTTTATATACAAGTCGTGCAAATGATGTTACCTCCCAAAACTCGCACGATTTCCTTCCAAAACGGACGAAACTGCTTGTTTCAAAACACGTAAACATAAACGCAGGCGAATATAAAGAGTGTAAAAAGTGTCTTGCATTTCCGCCTTTCGGACCAAAATGGGACTCTCAAATGTTAAATGTAATCGGCGCTTTTTCCTGGATTCGAGCCGTTGTTTTGCATATTGTGATGAACGCTGTGTTTCTATAATTGACAGGGAATAGTTTAATTACGAGGCAGCCACAGGCGAGCGTCTGATGGAAACGTGCAAATTAAAGCCTCGTCAGGGATGTGTGGCTATGTGTCCCAATCTGCATGTTATGATGTCGATATTAGGCCCGCCCAGGGGCATTCATCCGGAATAAACTCCACAGGCCACCGTATGTTTGTTTAATGAATTGTTAGTGCCGAGGAAGCGCTACCGAACCGGTAATTATGTCGATTTTTCGTCGACGAACTCATATCAGAAACGAGATTCGATTGGAAAATAAATTACAAGTGCGGTTAAGTAGATGCGTATAACGGATCGGCTGCCACTGATGTTAATATACCTTTGGACAACGCAGGAAAATTAGCTATAAGAGAATGAATTCAGACCCAATTTATGCAATCGTTTCCGCGTTGGGTTCACTACAGGTGGCTCCCATTCAACCTAACGAAAGACTACTCGAGGTAACATTCCCGTTTGCTTTCCATTTACACACAGCGCGGACAAATCCACCTCACTATTTAATGTTTGCGAATTTTCCAAGCCGCAACCGCCAAGTTAATAATTACCGAAGACAAAATTTTCTCGTGAGAACACCCTCAAAGCCCGCCTTCAAAGCGTTCCTTGCTTACTCTACTATTTGTTCAGAAAATCTGCCACTTTGTATCACAAATATTGAGTATTGTTTTTACTGGATGTGTAAATAACTCCTGATTGACTCGACTCGGATGGCTGCCGTTTCATCATCGGATTGGGCAAACATATTTACTTCGTTTTCGGAATTTCTTGTGCACACGGTGCTGATTTTTCACGCGTTTCGCCAAAAAGGCAACACACGCCTTAGCAAAACGCTCCCAATAAATTCCGTGCCGATGTTTTATTTATTTTCTTCCAAAGTTCGAATTTTAATCTCGAGAAAGGCATCGATAATAAGGGGCCGACTGCTCGACGTGCCTCCTGTCTAGCGCCGAGCCCAATAATTCGCTCTGTCGATCCAAAGAGCTGGGCGGAAACAGCGACCGCCGGAAAATCTGACCGACACCGAAACAGCCGCGTTACAAAATTGAATGGTGTCAGCGGTGGGATTGCGTAAATCAAAAACTCCTTCGAATGCGTTCTTCTAGACAATTACCATCGTCACTTTTGTTTACACCTTGTCCAATTTTCTGTATTGTTGTGCCCCCACGCAACACAATCGCCGCTTGACCGTAGACAAAGCAGTCCGTAGATGCGAGAACGTGATACACTTGCATATTCCGGCTCTCCCGTGGTATTTTTCGAGATAGTAAATAACGTGGAAACGATGCCTCGTGCATTACAATCTCAATGTAAACCGTGCATCATTACGGCCAGATGCAGTACGTGTTGTAGAGTAGAATTGGAATAATCCAAGCACCGCGGACCGATTTGCTCTAAACCTACTACTTGTGTTTTACCTAAATTATATGGCTCTGCTGGCCGTGATTGCCTGCAACTTGACGCCAATGCATTTCCGCGTTTTTACTTTTCACGAGAGGTCGGTGATGTAAGGCACGCAAGCGGCTAACACCCGCGGATCCCATTTGAATGCAAGGTGACCAAGGGAAAGTGGACGGAGCGAGTATTACACCCTGAGGAGCTCCGCGCGTGGCCACTACAAGCGTAATTAGCGAAAACTTAGAACTGTTTTACTGAAGTTATCGTAGTTTCGGTAGAATCGGAAAAGGCGCGATTTTTTGTCGTCATTGCGTACGGTCGACGCAGTCAGCGTGGCGTGAGAAAAGGTGGCGAAACAAAAGGAGGATTTATCATCGGTAATTAACAAGACAGTAACCTCGGGATTAAACACATTTGTACATATAAAGTCTGACCTTTGGCTCTGGAGGCCGTTTTAGTCGATAAAGTGCGGATTTATCGCCACGTTTGCTACTTTGGCGAAAAATCCCTAATGAGATCTAATGAGATAAAGCGCTGTGTTCTGGGTGTTAAACAGCGATTTACATATACACTTTTGTAGACTTTTTGCTGCGTTCGTCGCAATTCTGGAAAGTGTTTTATTAGCGACTGTGAGCGCCTGTGAAACCAGGCATGACTGAAAGTGGAAGTTATTAACTTTAACATGAAACAGGATGAATCGTCGCGTCTGTCTCGGTTCAATTTGTTCGCGTATGTACAGTCGCGCTCATTTTATTTCAATCGTCCTACGAACTTGATAAATTACGCTTTTATTTATTATGAACAACATAACAATCTCAGTAATGCCACTTATCGCTAACTTGGTTTAATTTATTCGCTACACGCTAACAATCACCACTCCAACGTGGAATAATAGCGATAATACCACCAAGCAATTAACCGTATGAAAGATCGACCATCCGCGCATCAGCGCAGAGTCACTAATGTCGGCCGATTAGAATATCTTTTAGCTTTACGACCACGGCAAACATCTTCTATTAGCGATCCGTCAGTTTAAACGGATTTATGGTTTCTGTTCTAGGAGCTTTGACCAAGTCGCAGTTCCCCGTTTTCACCATCTACGCCCAGAAGAACTGTCTGGGGGTCAAACCGTGCGAACGCGCTTGGTGCATCGACAGGGTACAGAACTACAAACTCCAGGGGTACACCAGGAATAAGATGACAGCCGCCACGAGACAAGAATGCCTAGAAATGTGTCTCGGAGAAACGGAATTCAGCTGCAGGTAAGTCACCAGTAATCCCTCCTACCCCTTTCCCGCTCGACGGAGTGGCTTTTAGCAGTCGCCACTTTAAATTTACTGGTAATGCCAGCTATAAGTTATCTGTGCACTTAGCAGGGGCACTGCCAATTGTCTGGGGTGTGCAAACGGGTTGACAATTTTTACCACTGCACTTGCGACGATGGAAATCGTCGCAATTATCGAACGAATCTTATAATTCTGTAAATGATACTTTAATTCTTATTTATGGTCATATTCGAAGAGAGCAACCGGGAAATTCCGCAGGGCACGTCTTTACGAGCCTCCAGCGACACGAACTTTGGAAATTCGCCCATAATCTGTTTGCAGATTGCGAAAAAGTCTGTCAGGTGATCAAGGCAGGGGTGGTTTCGCAATTTTCACAAACGAGCCGAGTCGGGCTTTATTTAAACTTAAGATAATTCTCGATTGAGGGGTTGGCGTTCCTGCACTTAAAACTGTATCAATTATGTAAAGACATGAATTTATAGCTACTTCATGTCTGACCTTTAATTTCAAAAGTCCTCGGTATTCATTAGTGATACTTGAGAACCCTTTTATGCGCACACCTCGGGCGCAATCGTAAATAACCTAACAGTGTCTTCATTTTTTCAATTCCTGCTAGAATATATCCTGATAGACTTGGTATCGTGTGAGGGACCGGAAGTGTGACGTGTCCAGTCGGAACTATAGAACGAACCGTCCGTGTAATAAATATAGTTGTCGTCGCAGTAATTTAATTACAATTGCGATGACAAGCTAACGGGCTGCGTTTACCGAGTGAGGAAAGGACAATTGTATGGTGATGGGTCGGGACGCTCCCACCGAACACCGTTAATAAAAGGATACAATTTTCCTTTTTTTACACGACGTGACTAATGGCTAATGAGTGTGGCATGTCTTTGGATTTTTGCCCTCGCAACTGAACTCACAAAGACCGTGACATCATCTAATTCAGGACGGATGTTTTGTTATTCTCTCTTCAGAAATTCAATCAGCTCCTGTTATTGTTGCCGAAACCGAAACGTTTTGGCGAAATCCGCCAAAAAAACTCCTAGATGTCTAAATTCGTGAGTCCATTCGTTTATTGTTATTATCGGACAAGTGGATTGTTTATGATGAGGAATTCGCGCTTTGCGCCCAAAAAAGGCAAATCAAATGGAAGCATGCGTGCGTGTCTTACAGTAAATACACGTCATTACATTTTTCAATGGCTGCCGCTACCTATAAATAAAACCTGAATAGCCTAACGGGTGGACACTAGAAGACCGATATTGCTTTTCCCGTAGACGACTTCATAAAAGCGTAATTGTTCGTAAAACTGTAGCGAGTTGCAGCCGAGAACTGTTTGTTGAGGAGTAGAAGCGCGACGCTCCACTTATAAAAGATTCCTATTTCCTAATTTGTTTCGCGAAACGCGGCTTTTTGCCGTTAAACGGAATCCACAAAGCCGCCGACGTCAGCAACACTTTGGGTTTACTTGATTATTAAATTTCGTCTTTGGGGTCAGCCACTTTGAATAGCTCCAATCGAAACACAAAAATCTAATTAAACCGCACGCGACTCCTCCACATGCTCCTCCGAAAACGTATCAGTTTCCCCCGGCTTTTACGAGCTGCGCCGACCTTAAAAGCGCCCTAAAAAATACTTTGAATACGAAATCGCGTCCCTTCCTCAAACACGCATCCGTCCTCATGTTACGGTATCAGTTAATTGCAATTAGTTAGGGGTCGGTGGTGTACAAGGGCGGGCACAGTTATCGGCCAGGCTCACACTATTAAATTACGTGGGCCAAGGGGGTCAACCTTGCAAGACAGCCACCGCGATAATTACCAAAGTTTGGAACGCTGGCTGCAACCGCACCCCTATATCTTGTCTATTAAGTTAGCATACGGATTTCGATGGGAATCCAGTCGGACACCTGCGATCCACGCCAAAAGGGCCACGTTTCTCCCGAACCGTTCTAATTTTTTTGATAACCACTTTGAACCGATCGAGACGCCAGTACCACGACAATGTACTGTGTAATCGTTAACCAAATTAAGTTATTTCAGGACCAAATAATTGATTGTGAAAATTAGCGGCCCGACAAGTCGGGGGCTGTTTACCTTTTTAGAAGTCAGAAAGGATTCGCTCAGTTTTTTGGAATCCACGTGTTATGAGAGTAAGGAACAGCCTCATTTATTTTAATTCTCCGGCATTGTTCGAAGTATGCTGAATATGAAATAGTATTAGTTCGTCTACGTTTCTGTGTACTGACTGCTCGCAACCCCCGAGAGTCCAACTGGCAATACCGATGATATCTACAGTTAGACATTGTAGCAGCCGTACATTATTTACGATGCCACCCAGGACCCCGTTCGCCTAATCCATAACTCATCCTTGTCGTCACAAGCGCGGAAAGCCCCTGGACAGTATTACACGGCTCGTACGTCTTGTAATCATAAATAATTCCATACGCTGTGCGTCGAAATTTGCATGCGGACACTTCTTACACGGAAAACACGGTGGAAACATCGCACCAGCTTACCATACACGGCACTAGCAGCAGTACCCTCGTTAATAACGAAACGTGGCAATTAGCATGAAATAGTGCGTCGTCGCGCCGGCACAAACGGCCGTATTTTTCTCTTTTTCTCGCGCGTGTTTGCTCGAATCCGGTGATGAAAAGCGCCCGGAGGTCGCGCTTCAGATATCCGCGCTTTTTTCCCTCTTCCACGGTAGGCAGAGCGTGCATGCCGAAGACGACAAGGTCGTCGCTGTACATATTAATTTGGAATTCCTAGTGGTTTTTAGCCGAGATTATAAAATAAACAATTTTACTACGGGCGCCGAAAGGCGTTCTAACCGGCTTTTTTACCGCCGTTAATGTAAGAGAGATGCGCTAGGAATTCCGTTGTTGAAGAACCACCGATAAAGCGTCGGAAAAAACGGAAGATTCGCGCCCGGATGAGTCTTAATGCGGCCGATTTTTGCATAATTAGCACGCTAAACACGGAAAAACGACATTAACGAGTCACGAGGGACCAAGGATCGAAGTAATTGCGTACGAGAGGACTAGTTTGATTATGGTGGACCGGATTGCCAAATATGGGCGATCTGGGAGCGACGCAACTCCGGAACTCGTTAACCACCCGAATGAATAATGAATGGGCAACCGATAAAAACAGAAATTTTGTTTTCGGTTGATTGCTGCCCGAAGGGCCATCCGCAATTAACTCGCCGACACAACGAGTATGAACACCACCAGACGGACACGCCGTGGGAACGAACGCATCGACGCAATCAAACGAAATTACAAATTATCAATCACGACGAAGATGACATTGTTACCGAGAGAATGGATAGCGATTTACAAGCCAATTATGAAAAGGAAAGTGCTTTTAGTTCAACAATTGAGCAACTTATCAACACTGCAGACCACCGCCGCGGGCTAAACAATGCCATTTAGATCAAACCGCATGTGATCAATGGACAGCTGCGCCTGAAGACATATACTAGATGCAGCTCAATCTACTCTCGCTGAAAAAAAAAACGGGTAAACCCATAGCAAACCGAAAGGGTGAAAAGAGCGTGTCCGCGGCGGGCCCTTGCGGGACGCTCTCTGGTATCGGGTCGTGCGTGGTATGTGGTCCGTTTATTTGGTAAAAAATGTCCGGAGCGTCCGTCCGGGTAAACACCCCGACCCTAATGGCCTTTGGATGTTTGCGGCGTCCGGATTCCACGGGTTAGTTTGTGAGTTAGTACACAACTAACCCGAATAAATTCTAACCGGAGGCGGCAATGAATTAATTTAATGAATTTATACTCGTGTTCCATTGATACAGCATCGGAGCGCTTTGTCGAGCCGGGGGTTCGAGCGTTCGCGTTTGGTCTTTTTTCGTTGCGCCGCGTTCCTCCGCAGATCCTTAACGAGTTCGTGAAGTAAATATCAGATAATTATCTGATAATTGCACGAAATTACATCACGTAAAGTAATTTGGAACTGATTTTGAGTCGGTAATGCCGTCCGATTCTCGCTTATGGTTGAGAGCGAGAAACTAACATCGATCGGTATTTTATTAAACATTGTGTTCGAGTTGTAATCTCATTAGGGTGGATTAGATCTCACTTCCGTTTCACTTTATTTGTTCTGCGATCTGAAAATCCCACTCGATTCAGTGGTCTGGCGTGCACTGAAAAATTGCTTAGGGAACTTTTTAAATGTAATGTAATGGCGGCGATTATTTCAACTGCAACTGAGACATGTAAATGTAAATTACCAATAATGGCCGTGACAAGATAATGTACGAGCAATATCACATGCTAATGTACGAGACTAATCTGCAGACGCCTACACTTGCATTATTACTTTATTACTGCCGAACGGGCCGCCATTAATCCGGGCACGGACTGTTATTACGGTGACTTATGACGATTTCGTAAACAACGCTTGATTAATGAATATTCCATGACGGCCGATACTCGCCATTCTTCGCCTGCACTTGCACAAATCGGCGGCCGTTCCACAAACAAATATCCCACGAGAAACGCGAATACAAATAGGAGCAGCGGAAATCTCTAGCCAGCGTGGATTCCCGGTCCCATACCCTGGTGTGAATTCCGCGCAAAATTCATTTTTAATATAGCTGTAGGGATGATTGGCAATCGTCTGGAAGCAATCTCCAAACATCAAGTGAAAATCTATAATCAGCGTAGGTATCTGAATGCGAATCCGACAGGCTCTCGAGAAAATAAAGAAAAGCAAAACCGGTCGTCCATTAAGGAAAAAGGGTACCGATTATAGGGATTCCAAATGCATTTCCGTCATCTCCGGCAGCACAGCATCGCAAAGTCGATCGCGATATGAAATTTATCATCTCAAACGGCAAAAATATTCTAAAAGCAGATCTGGTGTAAGCGTTGGCGCGTTATTAAATCCTTTTATGATGGCTGATTGAAGGGAGTAGATAGATTACCTATAGATCGTCGCTGATAAATGGGACAGCCTAGAGTCCTTCACCTCCATAGCTAGACAAAGACGCTCCAGGATCCACGGCACGCTCGCTCCCTCAAAGATGCACGTCATATAACGTTGCACTAATTACTAATTACCTCCCATCAAAATGTTAATACGGTACGTTGTCGAGGGCCGATGCTCGTATGTGTGATAAATGTCCCGTCTGCTCCTCCAACTGCCAGCTCGAGGACTAATTGGACTGCCCGGAGTGAGCGACGCCACCTTCTCGCACCATTTTTGTCCCACTCGAGCGAGAAAATTAATTTGAATAAATTAGAAACATAGGTGTTGGACGGACCCAGCGGGTGGGATAACAACGGACCCGACATGACCATTGGACCGACCAATAAAAACAAGACAGCCGCGCGTAATTGAAAGAAGCGATACTCGAGGACGCACGATCCAGAAAAGCGATTCGACGATAGATTAAAAAGGAAAAGTCGTGAAAATCAATTACTCGCGCCTGTGTCCGTTTTAATTATCGACGTGATTGATCGAGCATAGTGGTCGGACGTGAGGTGACTCGAAACAAGAAAATGAAAGGTACCGCTGGTTTTCACCAGGGATAATCGCTTACAGTACCGAACGATGGTTCCGCAAATCCTGTCGCAAAATTGGGGCATCACCCTATCTTAAACGGTTTGCGTGCTGAGATATGAGGTACCCTAAAGAAAAGTGTCAGCTTTCGTGTGGTACCATTTATAAACCTAAAGCATGCGTTCAGTGTGGATGGTAGTACCACGATAAGCCAGATGTTCAGAAATATTGGTCAATTTTGTCGCCGCAGAGTCGGATTAAAAAAAAACTTCTCTTTGTAAATCAATAAAAGCTGGGGCACGGAAATATCGTCGTCGGAGATCAGTTCTTGTTAGCAGCCGTCGAAGCGAGCAATTAATGCATGCCCTTGCGTCGCCGTACGCAAGCCTGCCTATTGATGCGCCTTTCGTAATTAATCGCCGTCCAGAAAAAAGCGAATACAATGTGGTAATTTGTATCGGCTTTAGTGCTCATTGTCTATCCCGTCCAAGACGAGTCATAATAAAATTACCGGTTGTCGTGGTCATAAAAGCGCCACGACACGCCGAGACCGACCTAGCCCTGTCTGGTGCGGCAGCTTTTTTCCTCGTTTCGAAAGCCGCAGTCGAGCGGCTCCGGGCGATGATTTTTTCATTCGCTATTTCGGCAGCGTCGCGACGACCCATCGACGTTGTCATCGGCTATATTGGTTCCACGTCTAAAACGTGACTCGCAGTTAGGAGCTGCCTGTGTGGCTCGTCATCGCCAACACGGTGACACTAAACACACACGCTTTGCATCTCAACAATACAACCACCCTGGTCGGTTCCGAGCCAACAATCTGCCCGATACGGCTGATTACCTGCGCGTTCTAGCGACTATATCACCACCTAGAGGTTTCCGGAGCGTCAAACGCAAACGGACGAAATTACGAAATGAAAAATTTGTCGCAGTTATGGATCGGATCGTGGTGGGTCGACCCTTATTAAAACAGTAAAACGGAGAAAAAGTGCCTGGGTCGTCCGTGTTGCGAGGTGCAACTGGCTGTTTACCTTTAACGGGACCCGTATGTTACCAAATTGCTTGTAATTGGTTAACGAGCATGGTGGAAGCAAAAATGCCATCAATGGTAACGTGACCGGGGCAAAAGAACAGTAAGCGCACTTAGAGAGATGAGCTATTGACTGAGGAAAGGCAACACATCTAGAATCATTAAGATGGTTTGGATTATGGTCGGCAAAAACCTTCCCTGGTATCGAGGAGCGCGCGCTCGCAAGACCATTAATCAGTATTCAACTCTATACCCATTCAAAGATTGTCTAATTAATTAAGTCCAGTTTATACCGTCACGTTTCTACAAAAATCGCCACCACTCTCTTGTTATGTGTACACTTTCGATACATTTCGTCGAATCTTGGAATTGTACACTTGAAATTCTTCACACGACGGACGTCTCCTTAATTACTTAATCCAATCAAAATTCCCATCTTCCACTTGACGGCCGCCCGTTACCGCAAAACAAGCGCGAAATCTCACCGTAATGCAGCTGTCACGAGATTTAGATTATTTTTTCCTCCTTTTGTCTAGCTCAACTACGTTAGCACGTCAAGTGCAAACTTATTATTTACTTAAGTGATCTTACAGTTGCTTCGAAAGAGTTGAATAGCTCCTATCCGCGAATATTTTACGCGGAAATAGAAAAAAAGTGAACGGCTTCCGCGTTCGTCGAGCCGCAGTGTTTGTTTTTATGCAGCAAAAGTTCGTGCGATGCTGCGTCCAGCCGTGAAATGGGTCAATAACGTTCTTTAAATCTGTCAACGGCAGCAATGCAAATACCCCGTTTTGCTTCCACCCGATTGTTACCTGACCCAAAGTTGGGGCATCTCCGCCGCAATCAGTTTCACTTTCTGATGTGCTCGAGCTATTCCATTTAATCGCCGATTTACTTTTGAATTTTGATGTGCCGCAGTCACGCCACCGTGCATGGGAACTGCGGAATCATCGATTCGCGAAATCGATAGTACGGATAATTGTGGTACGAGATGAGATTTTCATTTCTTCTGCGCACCGGATCGTGCTTGAAAACGTGAAAATATCCGCGATAACCGACAATTCCGTTCCGAGAGTCTTGTGATTTGTTAATCGAAATGGGAGTTTTACGAATTACGTTTATACATCCATTACATGACAGTAGCAGCAAAACATGAGTGTGACAGCCCATCATTTTATTGCGTGGATAATTCAAGCCGTGCAACGAACCCTATTTTATCACCGACGATCATGGCGGAGAGACACGGCGCTCTTTTCACTCGCAAACTGCGCTTATTCAAAAGTGAGTGACTAGACGGTAATCTTGAAAAGAGCGTTGTCGGATATTATTTACGCGCATTATTACCGGCTGCAACTATTTATGCGGTGTTGTGTTCTGGACACACGGATCCGTCCGACGGGAGGTGCAAGATCGGAGTCGTTAGGTACGTACGTGTGACGTCACGGTAGCCTATTCATAACCATAACCGTCGCCTCTGCAATGCCATATCGTACAATCAATCCAATTTAAAATGGCATTTCAATAGTACTGGTTATATGAAACGGCGCACACAATGCCCCGTACGCCGAAAGGTTCACATATTCTGCCTCGGCGCACTCCGCTGCGTTGACAATATTAAGATTTACGCATCAGATAAGTCAGTTGACCGAGCGCGTCGATACAAGCGAAGAAAAGAGCTTTCACTTAATTATAACGCGAAAGGGAAAGGGCATTCGAATCACGTAAAGATAATGGCTAGGTTATGTAGTGCTCAAAGCACCATCTTCATCTCCAACAGGCCGAACATGGCAGAGAGGCTGTTAGGCCGCAAATGGGCGAGACAATGAGACGTAGATCCAGAAACGCAATAAATAGGCCTCAACACTTGCAAAAGCGCCGGTTTTTCCGTGTCGTTAGTCCGTGATTAACAAGTGTAAGAGCGAATGGTAATAAGGTTGTTGTCCAGCGCCGATAAATAATTTATCGGGGTCGTGATGGCCGCATCAATCCTCGGGATGAGATGGGACAATGACCATAATCCATCGTGAGCGATCCGCGCCCATCAAACAACACTTATTAAACGAAAAAACGACGAGTTATGGTCTATTTAACCGGGAAATAATGGCGAGCATTAAAGTAACTGCCCGTACATGTCTACATATGTAAAGCACGACCTAAGATGGATTGCCTGCCACTCGGACCTTACAAAGGCATAGCATCGCACCGACACGACGGACGTGCAATCGCTCAGAAATTAATAAAACGCAGATTCGTCTCGTTCGATCCGATAAATCTCCTTCTTGTTTCAGGTCGGCCAGCTACAATAACGCAACAGGCGACTGCGAGCTATCCAGTATGGATCGGCTCACCCTCGCCGGAAGTTCGGCTTTCCAGGCGGCCGACGGCTACGATTACATGGAGAACAATTGCGTCGAAGAACCGTCGAAATTGTGCGAATTCAAGAAACTCAACGGCAGAATCCTCAAAACCGTCGACTCCGTCTACCAGGATGTCGGCTCGGTTGACGAATGCCGCGAGCTCTGCCTCAACTCTCCTTACAGGTGTCATTCTTACGACTACGGTGACACCGGCGAGATGGTGTGCCGACTCAGTCATCACTCCCGCGCCACCCTCGCTGACATCCAGGTTGGTCTCTTTATTTCGCGAAAGTCATAGTCGCGCACTTTTCTACATCTACGCTAATTTATGGAGTCTGTGTCGCATCCGGCGATTAACAAACCTCTCCGCGTCCATTCACGAAATTTATCTCTGTATTATTCAAATTCGCCACTGATGCCATCTAAACTCTTCGTATCCATTATTAACATCCCAAAAATCCACCCGAAACTTCCTTCCACATCCTGCCTTACGACTTCATGAATATTTAACCGCCGATTAAAAACGGCACTTATCATTGCGCGCGATTACGCGAAATTAAAAACGATCCTTGCCCGAATATGGCGAGATCAACGCGGGGCTATAATTTAGTCGATTTTTCCCACCGACCCTCGAACCGGTCCCCGACTAATAAAATCTCATCCTCTTGTCACTCATACGCAGCTTCATACAGTCGGAGCTTTAAATAAGCTTCATGAATATGTAGCTACCGTGTGATATGTTAACATCCATTCTCGTCCTGCAGGATCCTTATTTGGAAGTCCCCGAGGCGGCGACTTACGAATTGAGCTCGTGCTACAACGTCAGCATCGATTGTCGTTCAGGAGACATGGTGGCCCGCATCCAAACCAGCAAATTGTTCGACGGCAAAATCTACGCCAAAGGCAGTCCCAATTCGTGCGTGCGCGACGTCAATAATAGTTTGGAGTTTGAACTGAGCATGGCGTACGACAATCTCGAGTGCAACGTGCGCAAGAACGGCCTCGGAAGGTAAGGAAGGCTACTCACCTGCAACAAAACAACAAAAAATTAAAAAAAAAAAAAAACGGAATTGGGTGATTTTGATGGCGCGTTTCAGGTATATCAACGACGTTGTTATCCAGCACCACGATAAGATCGTCACCAGTTCGGACCTGGGGCTAGCCGTGACGTGCCAGTACGATTTGACCAACAAGAGCGTCACTAACGAGGTGGATTTGGGGGTCCACGGGGACATCCAACCCGCTTTGTCCGAAGAAGTCACCGTGGACTCTCCCAACGTGGCTATGAAAATCACCGACCGCAGCGGCGGCGACGTCATGCCGACGGCCGAAGTTGGCGACCCTCTGGCGTTACGTTTCGAAATCATGGACAAGAACAGTCCTTACGAAATATTCGTTAGGGAACTGGTCGCAATGGACGGCGTTGATTCCAGCGAGATTGTGCTGATTGATTCCGACGGCTGCCCCACCGACCATTTCATCATGGGTCCTATCTACAAATCGGCCGAGACGGGCAAGGTACGTAATTAACTGTCAAAATTGAAAAATCCAAGTATGGACAAGGGGGAGGTTCCCGCTTTTTTGCAACTTCGATTTAAATTAGATGGCCGCGATAAGGGAAGAGGAGCAGCCTTGAACTGGTTTAAGGCGAAATTGCTGGTTTAATTAAAACTGATCTTTGATTAACAAGTTACGTCAGCTTTTGTTATTATAGAGGAAACGAACGAAAGTTGAGGCTGCCGTCTAGGCGGTGAGCGAGCAGAGGCCAGACGTCGACGACAATCTAGGATTAAATTGCTTTTGTAATTGCTAATTAATTCTTTGATTCCGCGCTAATTCGCATTTTAATAGGTGACGCGGCGTTAGCGAACAAATCACTGTACTACACACAGTTGACTTAATGATTTTTAACGTTGTTGCAGATACTTCTGTCGCACTTCGACGCCTTCAAGTTCCCCTCGTCCGAGGTGGTCCAGTTCCGCGCGCTCGTCACCCCGTGCATGCCCACCTGCGAGCCCGTCCAGTGTGACCAGGAGGAGTCCACCGGCGACTTGCGCTCCGTCGTGTCCTACGGCCGCCGCCGTCGCCGCCGCTCCGCCACCCCCCAGGACGACCTCCTGCTCGTGCAGTCCATCCAGATCACCGACAAGTTCGGGTTCGAGCGCGACGGAAACAAGTCCATCGACAGCGAGGCCATCTTCATCCCCAACGAGCCCGGGCTGTGCATCAACATGGCAGGATTGATAGTCGCCGCCACCGTGTTCCTGTCCGCTCAGCTGCTCATCATCGCCGCCTGGACCTTCATCTGGCAGAGACGACGGTCGAACAAGCTCAACGACGGCATGTCCGTCAGCGTGAGCTTGCCCTCCGGCCGCACTGACAGCCTCTGCAAGCTCTACGAGGCCGGCTACAACCACTCTCGTCGCTTCTAACCGAACTAATCGCGTGTGATATTTTAGAAATTTGTATGTACAGCGCCGTAGGGACCCTAAATTCGCGCGTAAACACATACCTGCGTTCTCTTTCTGTGTGCGCCCGCCGAGGCGGCTGCCATTGTAGTCTTCGTTTAGCAACAGCTTAAGTCACTGCCGATGTGCGCGCACACGCATTTCTTGGAACACCGCAACGTGCTAGATTAATACTCGTTTAGTTAATTTGAAAATGTATCAGTTTTGAAGAGAATTAGGGTGCTGAAGGTAACGTTTTGCCGCGTTCTTGCTGGGCTTGCTTCAAGATATGCGAAACGTTACTGAGCGAGGCGCAGGCATGAATGGACTCTAGGACGATCTAGCGAGAATGAGTGGACGAAAGCTTACTATACTTTAATATTAATAATACATTACTAATCAAATGCAATATGACTGAATGGGGATGGATGAGTGCTATTTAAAACTGCTTGTCCTAGTTTCTTGAGTGCTGCGTCGGACGGTTTTGCTAATACTTGCCAAATCTTCCGCCTCTATGCGCCTTTAAATAATTTTTAACAAATACCATATATTTTTTACTTTAGGTAATATAATTTTTATACTATTTATAAGTTAATGTGCTGAACGTATTCAGTTATAAATTCTGAATTTTCTAAATATATGAATTGAATGAAGATCTTTGTGTTATTCTCTCGATCAGAATTTTTCCCTCGACGTTGTGCTCCCATACCTAAAGACCCAAGTTCGTTGGGTTAGAACACTAAAGTAACTAGAACATCCAAAAGGACCCGATTTTTGAGTTGGAGTCCTAGACAAGTAAAAATACCTAAAACCTGGAGTTATATGAAGATTTAGATTTCTAATCAAATCTTCTACTCTTGACGCACCAGAGACAACGATTTAATCACGGACCCAACCTTCAAAATAAGGCAAAATTCTTTGGATCCTAAATCAATTGGGACTGAAACGACCAATGTGATGAAACTAAACAAGATCTCCTTGTTTAATTTACTCTGACTTAGGTTAGATCAGTCGATCAAAATTTTTTTTTGGACGTGGTGGTCTTACACCATATAGAACGAAATTCGTTGGGTAGATGGTACAAATGAACCACAGTCAGCAAAAGTTTATAAACGGTATCGCAAACACAAAAAACAAGATTACAAGACTAGAGTAACCGCAGAGTCCAAAAGGACCCGAATTTTGGATTACGGGCCTATCTAATTAAAAAAAAAAAACGGAAAAGAAATATTTAAAGCCAGTACCTGGTGTCACATGAAGACTTGGATTTCTAAGAACGTCTTTCATTCTTCCTCCAAAAGGGACAATTCATTTAGTCATTAAAAGACTACAATAACAACAGAATCCAAAAGGACCCGATTTTTATGTTAAGGTTCTATAGAAGCAAAAAAAGAGGTAATTAAAGCTGAAACCTGGTGAAGATCTCCTTGTTTAATTTACTCTGATTTATGCTACACCAGTGGATCAAAATTTTTCCCTGGGCGTTGTGGTCCCATCCCTCATAGAACGAAATTCGTTGGGTATATGCTAGAAATGAGACCTATTGTTATAAGTTAGAAGTTAGAATACTAGAGTAACTATAACATCCAAAAGGACCCGATTTTTGAGTTGGAGTCCTAGAGAAGTAAAAATACCTAAAACCTGGAGTTACATGAAGATTTAGATTTCTAAGCAAATCTTCTATTCTTGACGCACCAGAGACAACGATTTAATCACTGACCCAACCTTCAAAATAAGGCAAAATTCTTTGGATCCTAAATCAAATGGGACTGAAACGACCAATGCGATGAAACAAACAAGATCTCCTTGTTTAATTTACTCTGACTTAGGTTACATCAGTCGATCAAATTTTTTTTTTGGACGTAGTGGTCTTATACCATATAGAACGAAATTCGTTTGGTAGATGGTACAAATGATCCACAGTCAGCAAAAGTTTATAAACGGTATCGCAAACACAAAAAACAAGATTACAAGACTAGAGTAACCGCAGAGTCCAAAAGGACCCGAATTTTGGATTACGGGCTTATCTAATTAAAAAAAAAAACGGAAAAGAAATATTTAAAGCCAGTACCTGGTGTCACATGAAGACTTAGATTTCTAAGCACGTCTTTCATTCTTCCTCCAAAAGGGACAATTCATTTAGTCATTAAAAGACTACAATAACAACAGAATCCAAAAGGACCCGATTTTTGGGTTAAGGTTCTATAGAAGCAAAAAAAGAGGTAATTAAAGCTGAAACCTGGTGAAGATCTCCTTGTTTAATTTACTCTGATTTATGCTACACCAGTGGATCAAAATTTTTCCCTGGGCGTTGTGGTCCCATACCTCATAGAACGAAAATCGTTGGGTATATGGTGGAAATGAGAACTATTGTCAGTAAAGGTTTATCGGCGGTATTGAGAACCCTAAAAATAAGGTTAAAAGACTAAAGTAACTTTAGCATCCAAAAGGACCCGATTTTTGGATTAGGGTCCTATAAAATTGAAAAAAAAACACAAAAAATGAAGTAATTAAAGCTAGAACCTAGTGTTACGTGAAGATTTAGATTTCTAAGAAAATCTTTTAATCTTATCACAACAAGGACAATGAATTTAACCAGGATCGACCCTTCAAAATGGAATGAAATGCAGTTGGGACTGCAATGAACATCCCAATACTTTAAGCTGGAACAAGAACTGAAACTGATACAAACAAGAATCAATGATAAGAATATAATTTCATTTATTTGGACCAATATTACATAAGTGTATGTGTGTACAGTTGGGAGTTTCCCCATGGTTCTAAAGCGCAACGTAGGGTGTCCTGGCGAACAATCCGCAACAAAATAAGTTAACGAATACCGCAAGTTAGGCTGAAATTTCAAGTGGACGATCTAGTTTAAAATGTACGATCCACAGAACTTCGCCCACCTTTCAAACAAAATTTCCAACAAATTCCAAAGCTCAAACATAAGGGAATAATTCCAAAGGTCACATTAATGATGTTGGCCGTTACAAGCACATAATCAACTGCCACATGCAAAGGCGTAAGCTTAAACGTTAAATTTCCTATATAGTTTGACTAGTTTAGTTAGGAACTTTAAATAAACACCAGCATTTCCACAATGAGGGTACATCAAAAACATATTTACCCTTTTACCAATTAACCTTGTAAGTAAATTGTGGAAGAAACTTTGTTTAGGCCCGTACGTGTGTGTATGTGAGAAGTTCGGAAAATTTGTGTTTATTGAGCTTGCTAACTTCGAGTTGGTAAAACTTCTCTTTGTCTGTACTTCTCGGTAAACGATCGGGAGCTCTTGGAAGCCACTTGGAAATTTCCAATAAGGTCAGAGCAAGCTTACGTTTTTAATTAGCTGGAAATATGATTTTTGTGGTGTGGTGGGGCTCCATCTTGGTCCTCGCATATTTGTAATCTTTGCAGCGATCTTTCAGTCTCGGAATCGACATTCGCGATGAGGTGCGTCTCCACCCCTAGATCATCTTCGCCGGTGGTAAACCCTCGCTTCCTCCCACAAATGAGCTCTTGATATATACCCACCATCCATCCCATCTCACAAATCAGTTCCCCGATGATTGATTTATGCAGATACGTGAATCTGCTGGGTACACACCGAGCGTATGTTGTGCATTTGCGTTATTCTTAATTACCCATGCATATAATAGATTGGATAATTGTTAGCCGGCGGCCTCTTCAGCGCAGACCACACCCGAACAACATACAAAAACACGGATATTTCGCATCGAAAAAAAGGCCAGAGATGAAATACGGTTTCCGCGATATTTTCCCTTTTATTTTAGATCGGCGAGTGCTTTTATAGTCGCGAGATATTTCAGACCACTCCGCCCAACGTCACTAACATATGATGATGTGCTCCAGGGAAAAAGACATAACGCGTGCTTTTTGCCATTACGACCGCTCAAAACAACATTGTTACAATTCCGGACGACGAAATATGACGGCGCGTCGCCGAATATGCCAACTATGTGCACGAAATGAAATCGTATACTGGAAGGGAACTATTTTATCTAGGCGAAATTCATGCGGCTTTACTACCGACGCAGAAAAGCGTGAAATAATTGTTAAGTAAATGAAACTCGCCGGAAAGAAAAAAAATTCCATGCACGGAGTGTCATAAGCAATGTAACGGCACTTGAACCCTCAGCCCTATACCGGATTATATAGTATTAACAAAAATAGACAGAAATTCAAACAATAAACATTTATTTATAGAAAGATTACAGTTACAAGACAGTGAAAATGAGCAGGTATTGGTCATACATTACGTTTAAAGGCAGTCAAATACAAATCAAAAATTACTGTTATACCAAGAAAGCGGGTTGAGAATATATTTCACATGACATAAATTGGCAATTAAAGAACAAATTCTGAGGAAAGAAAACTGGTAACAGAGTAGACATTGATGTAAATAGGTCAAGTAAATTTTTTGTTAAGTGGGAAATACACAAGACTCATTATCAATAATTATTGGAATAATGTTAAAGGTCTATGAACTGATAAATAAACAACTATAACGGACTTGTTAAATAAATAATGCAATAATTCGGTCATTGTTAGAGTCTGAATGCTCTCCCTCCAGAGAGTGTAAGTGTCATGCGATCACATAAATTAGTACCTAGTTTGCCCACCAGTTATTTATACAGGTAACAGTAAAAGTAACTGCGACAGAATAAATCACTTTGAAGTTAATGGGTGGTATTTTAACGACAATAAACTAATATGTAATGATTGTCACTGGATGTTTCCTGGAGGAATTGTACACCCACACCGCTTTAGTGCGATGATTGTACGTAAAGATGTTTCCTGGAGGAATTAGACGCCTATAGAATTCTACCTTCCTATGGTGCGCCCACACATGAAAATCCATAGCCGAGATTGGAATAAAAAGATCGAAAAGAAATAGAATCTGTGAAAATAAACAGTGGAGGATTAGGAATGTGCTTCATGATAATTTAAAGTAGCCACAACCAAACTATTTTATTACAACATTTCTGGAAATTTCTACGTGAATGTTACTAACAGAGAGAGAAAAAGAAAAAAATAGCTACAGAAAATACTATGGAAAATTGAGACTATTTTTACAAAGGGAACACATTCAGCCATATTGTTTTTAAAAAGGGACAAACACCACAGATCCTTCAGTTTTTACACAATTTACGCCCACAAGTCAATTATTTCATGTTTCCTTTAAAAGTGCTTGTTAAGATGAGATTGATTTTGGTATGACTGAACAATATTAATTAAATTTAATTTAGGCCCGCCCGTTCTCTCATTTTTTTTTTCAGCAAATAAGTAGTACAACAAAAAAATTACGACTAACGCTTTTTTTGGAAAAAAAATCAAAATTATCAAACATTTTGCAAGTTAATTTTGAATCTGCCAAATTGAATGCTTTGAAATCTTGCAGATATTTTAAATTTATGGTAAGCATAATAACTTTGTAATCCAAAAAATTGATGACGACATCTCAAAATTTGGCCGGATAAATACTATCTAAAATGTGCGTGAATTCATTTTATTGATTTCATCAGGAACTGCAAAACTGAAATCTTAGAAATGTTTTAAAGTTATCATAAGTAAGGTACTTTTTTGATCAATAAATACTTATTGTGATTTATTTTTAATATAGAATTAA